GGCCGGATGCCCCCTCCCCGCTCATCGCCCGTCCCTGGCGCCACGCGATCGGGCAGTGGCGCAGCCAGGCGGCAGCAGCGGGGGAGCGGCCAGTCCTGGTAGCGCCCGTGTTCGACGCTGGGAGCACACGGAAGTCAGTGGTGCTGTGCTGGTCACACGGTGCTTGAGCCGGTGGCTGGCCATATCGCCGTGGACTGCACAACTTCTCCGCCCAACCCCGCCGCGCCTGGCTGCGTCCCTTCCCGTCCCTTGTTGTTTTCGTTTCGTACTACGGCTCCAGTCGCGTGTGGGGGTGAACGCTCTCGTGCGGGGTACGCTGCTTTCCCTCTCGGCCATCGCGCTGCGTCGCCTCTGCGGGCCGAGTCGCAGTGGGACGGGCCGTTTTCGTCGCGTCACGGCGGGGCGCGTGGACCAGGGCTGCGGCGCGCGTCACGGCGGCGCGCGGACCAGGGCTGCGGCGCGCGCAGCTGCTGCCCGCGCCGACCGGGCGTTCAGCAGGCGGGCGCGTCGTGCTCAAGCCGCTGTGACGCGCCGCTTGTCAGCCAACTGTCGCGCCCGTCATCGGTCACGCGCCCGCCGCAGATGCTCGCCAGGTCAAATGTTGACCCACAGTTTTGCCATCAGGGATACTAAAATGGCTGAAAATTCGGTTATGTGTGACGAGAGCCCGATGTCCTGAAGTTGCCCGAGGCTGTATTTTCCTATTTGTCTGGCGCTCTCCAGCTGTCTGCGGGACAGTGCACCTAACTGTCCTGAGTCGGGTTGTGATTTGGCGAGAGCAAATGGCAGTGCACCTAACTGTCCTGAGGCGAGTTGTGATTTGGCGAGAGCAAATTACTTGTTAAGGAAGCCATTAAGAGTAAGGGCAACTAGAACCTTTGAGATAGGTGATATGACGATATGCTCGTTAGGTAACCGACCTCGTCCGTCCACTCGTCCTTCATGTTTTCTCCTCTCGCATCCCAGGGTCATACGCTGCGCCTCTTCACTCATCGTTTCCACTTTAGAGAAACGCGATCTGACATGGAGGAACATGCTTCATGGCATTGACTAGCGAGTCGCGAATTTACTTAGCCACCTGAATTTCCGCATACAGACCATCACGCACGTGCTGCGGATGACCTTGTGAATCTATTCGTCAGAAGCGACCTCTGATTGGGCGTCGGGCAGGTCGGACGATGATGGATTGCCTGCCCATCTGCATTTGACTGCAGTTTTGCATGCATTTGACCCGGCCTCAAAGAAAGCCCTTTAACGTTTTGAGGATGAAAGCGTGCTGAACGGAACTGAACGGGATTTGGCCAGCCTTACAAATGAAAGCGTACTGAACGGAACTGAACAGGATATTGCCAGACTTACAAATGAAAGCGTGCTGAACGGAACTGAACGGGATCTTGCCAGCCTTACAAATGAAAGCGTGCTGAACGGAACTGAACGGGATCTTGCCAGCCTTACAAATGAAAGCGTGCCGAACGGAACTGAACGGGATCTTGCCAGCCCCACAAATGAAAACGTGCTGAACGGAACTGAACGGGATCTTGCCAGTCTTACAAATGAAGGCGTGATGTTTCGACTCATTAATGTTACCGAAGGGCAAGTCCTGTCATTGCACGGGAAAACCAAAGCACTTGCGCCTCACTCACAAGAATTTACCGAGGGACATCACGCATACCACGCTGCCTCGCTTGCGCCTGCACAGAGGCCAGAAACTGTGCTACCCTTTGCCGGGGGACATCAGGTGTACCACGCTGCCTCACGTGCACCTACACGGGGGCCAGAAACAACGCTGCCCTTGTGGGTCTTCCCCAGCACGTGAGCAGGCTCCGCCTCCACCGTTTGCTCCCGTGGTCCCGCTTGAGGGGTCAACGACCTGTGAGGGAACACCGGTGTTGTGAAATCCGTACCTGGTGCAATCAACGGCTATTTTTAGCTGCGCGTTCCACAATGCGTGTGCCCTTTTGGGTGCCTTTAGCCAGTATCGATTCCAGTTTGTTCTTGGCTTCCCCGGCGTTATCACGATTTAAATGCTACGTTTTGTAGAAACCCCGCTATTAACGAAGAAGCACGATGCGGTGGGGAAATAAATGTCACGGGTCTGCGTGCCGCTGTGCAGGACGATCCAAGAACGCGTTCGCCCGGCATCAAGCTAGCAACGCGCGGTCTCGCTCAGGACGGGGTCTCGCTCAGGACGCGGTCTCGCTCAGGACGCGGTCTCGCTCAGGACGCGGTCTCGCTCAGGACGCGGTCTCGCTCAGGACGGGCCTGTGCAGGCCGGGGCCGGACAGAGCAGTTCGCCGCACGCACTGATTGCATGTCGGCCAAATATGTGTAAACACTGACGGAAATGAGGTTGGACTGGATGTAAGCAGTATGGACTGGTTTGGACATCCATCATGCCTTCGCCCTGTGGTCCCCCCCGCCCTCCCGTCCGTGGGGTCGCTGTGGATCCTGTGTAGTGCATACTTTGCTAGTGATTGGCCGATGGGCTAATCGCTGCACCCCGCGCACCGTGAGCGCTGCTGTCGACGTGACTAATGGTGCGTATCTGGGCCTAGGGTAGCAAACAAGTTCTTGTTCAGTTGGTCTGGGCTCAGGACGACCGCTGCGAACGACGCCCTGTCCATCCCCTCAAATTAAAGTGTCATCATCATCCTTCAGTTGCTCGCGCCGTGAATGGCTTGCTTCCACATCTGTGTTGGTGTTTGCCCACCGTCATGCGTTTATGGAGCGTCATTGTGCCTGAATGTTTATGGCGCGTCATTGTGCCTGAATGCTTGTTTGGCACCTTTCATTGCACACAAACGCTACTGAATAAGCATTGAGATATACATGCTTCACTCCGCCTCTACCATTGGAAGCTTCGATGAGTTTGTATTGATGAGTGTGCCTTTAAGTGGACACAAGTGTAATATATATGCTCTTTTTTGTTTGGGGTTTCACCGCTGATTAACTTATTGATTTTAGATGATTTGACCAACAGGAGCGACCAGTCTGTCACGAATGTGATGTGTTGCACGGCATTTCGAATGTCTTGCGTAGGTGGAATAGGTTTATTGCCCCATTTAGCACGACGTTTTGGCACGGGGCATTGGTGCCGCTGTTCACCCTGCCGTCGTCCTGGCCCCATCACTTACAGGGTCAACAACCGACGACGTATGCCCCGATGAGAGCAGGCCCGGGATCAAGGAGAGGCATGGTCATGTATGCTGAGCGCATTGGCGTATGACGCTGGGTATGCCCAACCGTTAGGCCAGGTGAATGAGCGAGACCCTCTTCGGAGATTTGTTTTCTTAAAATATTTAAGCAATTCATGAGGTGTAACCAACGAATTCAAGTGCTTCGTTTGGCGTCACGCCCACGCACTCAAGCGCAGCAGCCCTGGGTGTGTGTCCTTGAGCTGATATTTTCAGCATCACCCACTTGCACCTATCGCAGGCAATTTTATAGCCCAAATGTACAATTAAACGTTGGCAATTTGCCGCGTTTAAACATGTGGGCTGAACTTTGGCAGATACGCAGTGCTGTAAAAACAAAAAGCACAGACCGTAGCCAAATTCGGTTGCTTCTGTCGCACAGCATGCATGGTGCTGTAAGAACGATTCAGCTGTAGCTGGCTGCACAGAGCTGGCCCTGCCGTCGGTCGGCTCGGCTCGCCCGTGACGAGGAATGCCACACGCCGCACGGAGGCTGGCACCGGTGTCCAATATCGCTCGAGACGCGGCACATTCGGCCTGTTTGTTTTCCTGGCCGGTCAGGTCTTCGACCGGTGACTCATAGGGAGCCCCGCGTGCCCCACTTCGGGGCGGCGTCCTCCCGCCGCCGTGGGTGGCGCCTGTGCGTGATCAGAGTCGCGTGGTCCACTGCGCGCGCGCGCGCGGACCTGGGGACGACAGCGAGCAGCGCTAGGCGCGCGGGGCGGGGCGGAGGCCCGCTGGCGGTCCTGACGCACCCCACCCCGGTGAATCAGGTCAGGAGGACGCCGGCGCAAACGGACGCGGGAACGTTGCGAGGACACGGCCGACACAGCACCGTGTGGTTACAGCTCACGGTGGACGGGGGAGGACAGAGGATGTACTGTGTTTATCCACATCCGTTCAGACCTAGGGATGCGACCTGACAATGTTTTAAGCCTGCCAGAATGGACCAGACACTGGACTCGTTCTGACTCGTTAAGGGGGCCAAGGGCGCCGCGGCAAATGAGGAACTGACGACACGTTGCTTATCGAAAATTCAGTGGCGCCAGCCGATTATTTTGGGGCGGAGTTCGGCCCCAGTGTCTGCATTCAAAGGTTTGTGGTCCGTATTCAGAGTACACTGCGGCGTCTCAGCTGTGGCGCGTGGCTTTGGCTGTACTCGGTTCCATGCAGGTCAGGGCTGTGTATTTGCTGTGCGGCCTGGTCGTGTTGAGGTTCTCTGTCGCCGATTGTTGGATAAGGCGGTTTCATTGTTCCGGCGCGAAGGGAAAGTTCGTGACAGTATGCTCAGAGTGTATTTGCGCTACACATCGTGTGCGCCGAAGAATGCGCCATCAAATATTTCATCGGTATGATCAACCGATGGCCGATTTACGAATCTTTTGGAACTTGAATCCAGAATGTCGTCTTCATTAAAACGTGCGTGCATGAATATCACAACAGTGTGTTGCTTACAAACCACAAATTTCATTATGTCAATGTGAGTCAAGGAAACGGATCAATGGATGATACAGCTGCCAGCGAAATTGAGGTGAATGCAGACCGATGACCGGTAAAACGTTAAATGAAGGCAGAACAAGAGCACGAGCCATTGTGGACTCGATAGCAGGAGCATACTTTCGCAGAATGTGTTCGGGAAGGGAACGGATTAACTGGCTAAAAAAAATGCGAAAAAAGAAGAAAAGGCTAAACCTTCCCTCGTATCCCGAGAAAACGGATTTATCTGCGGATTTGACCCACTTTCGGGCCGAAGTTGGGGGCTGGAGCCCCTTCTACAACGGCCAACTGAATAGGAAACTACGCCGTGTCGGAGTCACTGCTTCGTCATCTGCTACCATTTCTGAATTTTGCGACTGAGGTAGATAGAAGTATCAGCTGATCTTAATCTCAGGGTAGTCTCAGCTGATCTCAATCGACCAGATCAACAGTTCTCGTCAGGTCAGTAAGGAGTTTTCAAACAGAACGATTAGTGGCAATCGCGTGTCTATCGACAAATCTGGAGCCGTGATGACCCCGCCCGCCACGGGAGCCCTGCCACGCTCCGTCCGCGACTGGAGCCGTGATGGCCCCGCCTGCCACGGGAGCCCTGCCACGCTCCGTCCGCGACTGGAGCCGTGATGACCCCGCCCGCCACGGGAGCCCTGCCACGCTCCGTACGCGTCTGAAGCCGTGATGACCCCGCCCGCCACGGGAGCCCTGCCACGCTCCGTACGCGTCTGAAGCCGTGATGACCCCGCCCGCCACGGGAGCCCTGCCACGCTCCGTCCGCGTCTGGAGCCGTGATGACCCCGCCCGCCACGGGAGCCCTGCCACGCTCCATCCGTGTCTGGAGCCGTGATGACCCCACCTGCCACGGGAGCCCTGCCACGCTCCGTCCGCGTCTGGAGCCGTGATGACCCCACCTGCCACGGGAGCCCTGCCATGCTCCGTTCGCGTTTGTTTCTAACCAGGATGACTGACGTCCGACTAGCGCGCCTCTCTACCGACGTCCCACAGTTCGCCGGGCCCCAGAGCGTCCTGCGACCGCGATAGGAACGGGGGCGGCTCGTCGATAAGGCCAGGCGGCCTCGTTGACTCACTGGCCCAAGGATGGCAGCGCCGCCGGAGGTCGACATCACCGATTCGGAGACCTGGGAGGGCAAGTACACGGTAAGACCGGCGGCCGCCGTCCACACCGGAAGGAGGCGCGCGCCAACGGGACGCGGGGCACGGGGCGTAGTGGACTCACACACCCACTCGGCGATGAGTTGCGGACTTGTTGGTGTGATGAAGGGCGCACTGGTAATGTGACACTACACGTTAATTTGTGTGTGATTTGGTGTTCCTGAAATTTGACTGACCCTTAACAATGCTTAAAACCTAAATGACCGACTTCTGC